CAGATCTGAATCTGCCGTCACAGTTGTTCAAGCAGAGAAGTGTCCAGCTGGCCTTATTTTATGAGCAAAGAGAGCCGACACGTGGGCAAGCAGTGGCGAGTTTGGGATGGGTAAGTGGATATGAACTCGCTCTGCTCTGGCACGTTCCCCAGAGCCGCTGGGAAGTCCTCTTACAGTTATCGCTGGTGTGGTCAGGCCGTGCAGCTGACTCCCTGCCGTGCAAGATGACGGGAGGCTGGGATGTGCTGTGTTTGCTGACACGCTGCTTTTACTCCTTCCCCTGTGCTTCAGCAAGGCTCACAGCACCAGCGTTGCTTTAAGGAGCTGCACTGCAGAGGAAAAAAAAAAAAAAAACAAAAAAAAGGTCTTTTGGGGACCTTTCACCTAACCTACCAGCTAAGCTGCTGTACTTTGAGCTCAGATAAGCAACAGGCCAGGTTTTGAAGCACCGCTTGTTGGATTGCAGCCGGTTCCTGACTTGGATGAGAAGCACCAAGGGGTCCAGGAAGCTTTCTGCTGCTGTGGGCCAGCGTTGTGCAGCTGGAGCTGCAGAAAGAGCGAGGAGGTGGTTTCCAGCCTAGGTTTCTGATCCCTCTTATCTCCAAGTTTTGAGTCCATCCTGCCTGAGTAGTAGATGAGCAACCCGGTCTAGCGGAGGATGTCCCTGCCTATGGTAGGGGCGTTGGAACTAGATGATCTTTAAGGTCCCTTCTAACCCAAACCATTCTGTCATTCTCTGGGGGCTGTACCAAGGTAGGGGACCCTTTCTAAATCACAGTCCAGCCCTATAGATATAGTGATAGGGGAGCAATTGATGCAGAACAGCCTCTTGCAGGAGCTTTTTACCTAATGGCTCCACAGGACAACGAGGTGCCTTGGGTGTCCTCAGCATTCCCCAAGTTATCCAGGTATTTGGGCTTTGCTTCTTGGAGGAGAACTTGCCGGCCAAGCAGCTCACGACAGCACATTGGTTCTGGCAGCGCCTTCTAGCCATTTCCTGGGAGCTTTCCTCTGGAGAGGAGCTTTCTAATGGCTCAACGAGGTGCTTTCTTCTGCACAACGAGGTGCCTTGGGTGTCCTCAGCATTCCCCAAGTTATCCAGGTATTTGGGCTTTGCTTCTTGGAGGAGAACTTGCCGGCCAAGCAGCTCACGACAGCACGTTGGTTCTGGCAGCGCCTTCTAGCCATTTCCTGGGAGCTTTCCTCTGGAGTTGAGAGAGGTGTTGACATCAACGTCAGTCTGAATTCCTCCCTGTTTCTCCACTGCGGTTTTGCTGACCTGGAGAGCGTGTTCAGCTATCGTCCAGCCACGGGGTCCAATCCTCAGCGTGACCGCTTCACCCCAGTTCAGTGCCCTGGATGTTCAGACCCATCTACAGTTGGTGTGCGAACGCGGTGAGAGAACTTCATTTCGTACTGGAATATGTCCAACTGCTGGAGCTTTGTGAATATTCCTGTGTTTGCAGCATCCAGGAAGACTGACAGCCTTTCAGTTAGCTGATTTTTAATTTAAAAATGCACTTCTCTTCAAAGATTTTTGTCAACCCAAGGAGTGATCACTCCAGGGCTATTGCTGAAATACCAGTGTTTTTGAAGGTCAGTGTCTGTATATTGGTCTCACCGTCTTCCAGTCTCAGAAAAGATGTGTCCCTTTCTGTTGTGTAACTCCTTTGTGGATATACAGGGTTGTTTCTATTATCACCCAAAGGCTTTTTGTCCGTACAGATCTTATGTAGTCCTGCTTTACCTTCAAATGCGATCCTGGATCTTGATCCCTCTGCATGGAAAGGGTGGACAGCAGCCGCTCTGCTGCTCAAATTCCTCCTGAGCGTTGGCTTTCCCAGGGTTCAGTGTAAATATTGCTTTAGACTGTTAAATTAAGTGTTTACAGCTAGGTTCAGCACACAGAATCACAACTGCTCAGGCTGTGACCTCAGCTTCATGCTCCAGGCTGTGGTGAGAACCCAGACCCTTGGCACTCTTCATGGAGTGCTCACCTGGAATTCTGTGCGGTGTATTGACTGCGGTGTGCTGTGTTCAAGACTACGGCAGTAAACCTGCCCCAGTGTTTATGCTGGCTTGGGAGTGTTGGTTTGTATTTTTTTTTTTTTACTCCTGGCTTCCTGTTTAAATTGGAATTTCTTTTTTTACATGGATATTTGTGCTTGCTTTGTCTTTTGTATTTGTAAAAAATAAATACAGAGCAAGTCAGTATTATTGGAATAATGTTAGTGCTTTATCACTGCAGGTGACTTTACATTTCAAATAAAGGAGGAGATAATAGTTTGAGCTTATTTCTGGCTCAGGAAAAAGAAAGATATGAACAGAACTGCTCTTGGCCTGAGCAGTTTGTGTCGGTAAGAGAATGAAGCTGGGAGAGTTTTGAAGAGTTGCAGGAAGATATGGCAACAGCCTAGGAAATAAGGAGTGCAGGGAGAGGACATTCGCATTCTTTCTTGAAGAACAACTGTTTCATTTGCAAAGCTTGAGACCAAGGACAGTGTGAAAGAAGGGATTGTTCCTTGCCTGGGTGAATGCGGAGATGACAGAGAATTACAAATCTCTAGCACAGGAGCTGCTTGAGCGGACAACCTCATCTCGTCTCCCTGGATATCGAGTGTGGCTTAAATGCTGAAGTATGTGAATGAAGAGTTGACCAAAACCTCACAGGTGACTTTGCAGCACAGCCTTGCCTCACCAGCTGCAGGTGGCTGTGGTAGAAGGTACTAGGAAATAGGTGAGATGATCAGAAAACCAAAATGGGAGAGGGCGGAGGGTTGTCTGCGTCTAGCTGGGTTAGAGCCGGTCTATGTCCTAGATACAAGAACAAAGTGTTTAATTCAGCAGGTCTACACATCACCCTCCTATTCTTGTTACCTGGTGTCTTCCCCAATCCTCTTCTGTTCTGCTTTATCAGAAACTTAACTTCCCCCCTTCCCCAAGAGAGAGACAGGATTTAGAATCGGGATCGGTGCTCGCTGCGGCTCTCCAGTGCTGGCATAATGGATCCATGACCTGATTTAAACCTGCCAGAGCTGCCATAACGTAAATATTTGATGGCACTACGGCTTCCCTTTTTAAGTCTGCTTCAGTTTTTCAAGCTAAATCGTGGCAAAGTATTCCTGAAAGACACTTGTTAGCATGGAGTTGTTTATGCAGTTCTCGGTTCTTCTTTTAGAGATTGTTCTGGCTTCGGGCATCGTTTCAGCCTTGCGTTGTATTTATGCAAAATCCGAGCAGTACAAGCAAACATGAAATTATATTTGTGTCATAATACATGGAAAGAAAGGGAGTTGAATCCATATGCCAGCTCTTAGCCCAGATGGAAACCATGCTGCCATTCAAATCGCGATCGCTCCTTGTTTGGGCAGAGATGGTACATCGGCGTTACTGCAGTGTCTCGCCTGGAGTGGCTGGATAAAGGTGGGGAAGGTGGAGAATTTGCTGCATGGTAAACTGTGACATGTTTCTACACTTCATGAGCTGCTCCGGAGAGAAAACCTCTGTGTGTTTTGAGGTCTGGAAGGAGTTTTTAAAATGGATTGAGTCAATATCCCAGGCCTAAATTTCTTACTGTTTTTATAAATGTGGACCTTTGTCAGAAGGAATAATTGCTGTTAGGTAAAGTAGATTTCTGTTTGTTGCAGAAAGGTGCGATTCCCTTTTGTGTGATTCCCTTGTTTGTAGGGTTTTACAAGCTGTGGGATGGTGGTACAACAGAGGAAAGAAGATTTTATTTTTAAGTTCTGAAAAAAAAGCAGTGCTGAGATCTGGAAGCAGCTTAACCTGGCACTAAAACAAGGGTTGCAGCAGCCCTACTGGGCCAGACCCCAAATGATTCGGCCAAGCCAGCAGAAGCATATAGGAATACTCAATCCATTTAGCGCTGAAATAATTGGAAAACCCAGTTTCTTATCCCTGTTCCGTGTCCATTCTGCTCTGGGAACAGGTCACATACCTGGGTATTTGGGTTCCGCCTATTGAAAGGGAAGGGAAGAATTTGGAAGCTGGATTCTGCATCCACTCACAGCCACGGTCCGAAACACTTAACTTTGTTTTTGGGGTGGATGTGCTTTACTTCTACGCAGGCCATGGTGCCAAGTATGGTGTGTTATAATTCCTTTAATATTTTCATTTTATAAACTCTATTTGTAGGAGAAGAGGGGAGTGTTTTTGAAATGCCATCTGTCTTGAGGTTAAAGCAGGCAGCTGGAAAACACGGCTTAGCTCTAGCTTCTGCTATCAGCTGCAGTCTTGAAAGTGTGAAGCATCTTCTACCGTGATGTCATAAGTCTTGAAACCACAGGATTTTTTTTTTAAACAATTTAATTTGCAAGTTGGAACAAAAAAAGCACTGTCAAATCTAGAAGTCTGGAATGTGGACAAAGCCACGACGAGCTTTCTCATTCTAGACCTTGCATCAGAGCTGTTTTCTCCTAGAGCAGACCAGAGGTACCAACTGATGAATTAATTGCTGTGTTGTTGCAAAACTTGAAATATTAGCTCTCTGCAGCAGTTGCTGCCCCTGAATGGCTTACGAATGCAGATAAATGTTGCAACTTCACAGAAAATCTTTGTTGGGAGATGTTAAAAAAAAAATAAAAATCTTAAAGCAGCTGTTGAGCTTAAGGTTTATATTTAGTGGTTATTCTAAAGATCCTTGCAGCTTTTAAAAACACTTCATCAGATGTGGGTGCTCAATTGTGCTGATGGGCAGGTCTTTTCAAGATAATACTGAACCACAAAACCTTTGCGGTCCAGTTGGACTGTAAGCAGAGGGTTTTGCTGAATTTCGAGGGAATGGATGAGGACCCTAGGGTCAGAAAGTTGCCTGCGTATTTTAAAGGTTACATAGCTATATATAGCTAAGGCTGGATTTTCTTTGAAACTAGTTAGATGAGTCCTTGTTCAGTAAATTCCAGGCTTCTTTTGTGAGTGAAAAAAAAATAAAAATAAATCTTTGGCTGTTTTTCGCTATTTACCAGTGTGTCTCTTTGCAGGATTCATGAATAAAATTTTCCATCCCAACATTGACGAAGCGTAAGTAAATCCCTTGTGTGGGTTTTCTTTTTTTTTTTCTAAGGAGTTTGTCTAATTGTAACTGTATTTGGGCTTCACAATAATACACTGATGAGTTGAATAATGCTTTCATCAATCTAAGAGTCCAGAGTGGGGGATTTGATAGAAGTAGACTTTCAGGAGTGGGTCAGGCTGTGGGCAGCACTGGAGAGCTGCATGTTGCAGACTCTTGCAGATGTTTTTGCAGTGCAACACGCCTCATTTACAGAAAATTCAGGGTTGCTAGTCCCCCTCCTCACTGGCATCATGCCGGCTTCCTAGGAACAGCTAAGCCATAGCTCCCTCTTTAGCTGAAGTTTCACGTTCATACTAAAATTCTTCAAAACATAAGATGTTTTGGCACATTTTGTTTCAGTTAAGGTTGTTAAGGGGAGCCACCTATGCTTCAGTCTCTCTCCAGCAGAGCCCCATATGGGCCAACTAATTCAGTAAAAGCTCCAATTTACTTTCCTTTCTGCAGAGTATGAAGATTCACATAGTTAAAGCCTGCCCCTCTATTAACCACAAGATAGGAGAAAATCATAGCTTATCCAAAATGGTGGGGCAAAGGCAGGGCAGAGGAAGGGAGGGGGTAGATTATATTAAATCCCCAGAGTATTTTTGAGTGTGACTGTGTTTAATTCCATCCTTTCCATATGTTTCAGGTCAGGAACTGTATGTCTAGATGTAATCAATCAAACTTGGACAGCTCTCTACGGTAAGTTTGGCATTCCCCTGAACATCCGTATTTGATGTGCTAACATAACACAGCTTGCTGGAGACAGATGACCTTAGGCTAACTTCTGGGTTTGGGATTTTTTTATTTATTTATTTTTTATATTGAAGTTTTGGACTCCTCACTGAGCCAAGATCACGTGAAAAATAAGATTTTTGTGTGAAAATACTTTTGTAACCTGGTTTTATGCTGGAGAGGCAAAAATATTCCATAAGCCTCACAAAGGATCACTGAATCCATTGCGTGGCATTGTCTGGCAACTGCTCAACAGCACCCCACCATAATTCCGCATTGAAAGAGGAGTGACTTTCATCTAAAGTGAAACCTAGCTACCAGCTACCCCATCCACGTTTTGTACAGCCATTTGAGCGGGTAATTCTTTGTGCACAAGGCTATGATCCCACTTCTGCAGGAGATGGCACCACAAACCGTTCCTGTTTGTCATGGCAGCGTCATTTCATTGCAGGTTAGGAGGTAGTGGTGTTTCTAACAACGCTGCTCGCTGCAGAACGTTTTGGGTTTCCTGGTAGGTCGTTTCTGGCCATAACTCTCCTTTTTAGAGATATGAAAAGAGTGACTGGTAGCTGAAGACCCATTCAAAT